TTGCTACTGGATATCACCGATGGGGAGCATCGTTCTGGGAAACCTGCTGTACCTGCCTCCCTCTGCTCTATCCGGCAGGTCTTCATCACCACCCTCCCCCAAAGTACCTCCCGAATCGTAACGTAATTAAAAAGGGGAGACTCTGGCCGCCTCTTTCCAAGACCGTGCATACTAATCGCATACAGCCATTTAGGGGGAAAAACCTGCAGGATTCACACATGTAATTTTCCTCTCCTAAAAAGAGCTCCGTTTCATTGAAATGAAGATGAGGTTTTTAAGCTTGAGTAAGTCTGCCAGGCAGAAGTAAATGGAGAATATATTTCATTAACATAAATCAGAACTGTATGACGTCTCCGGGCCCTGACTGCAGTTACGGTCTGTTGAATAGAATCAAATACAGCATCAAGACCAGTGGTTAACAAAGCCAGACGAAGATCCAGTTGACCTAAGCTTTAAATAAGAAATGATTCACAACTGAAGCAAAAAGCTGAGTCTGTTCCAGCACAATCAAAAACAGGGAAATTGTATTTTAATACTTTGGTCTCTGAAAACACAATCTCAGAACACAGAGTTGAATAAAGAGACAACAATGCACAACGTGTGTCTATGAGATATTTGCCCCTCGTAATCAATGTAATAGGCAGTTTCTGATGTATGGTTGTCCGTTTCTGTGTGTGTGTGTGTGTGTGTGTGTGTGTGTGTGATGTAAATACCTGATCATCTCCTCCTGGTATAGAGAGCTGACTGCTGCTCCGAAGCCCATTCGTCTTTCTGCTCCTCGTCTTTCCTGTCAAATAAAAGACAGGCACACATTAACGAACAATATCCACCTTATACAGAGTAAATACTAAAATGTCATTGTTAACAAACCTACTTCTTGTTCAATGATAGCTGGTGTGAAACACCAACCAAGTCTAGTTTGGCTTAGTTCTGCAGCTTGTGTTGTTAATCTATATGGAGAGAGGTACTGACCTTATTGTTTAGTGTGCTCAATGCTAGACAAAAGGGTTGGTCCGTCTATTCAATGCACCTATGGATTTTAACCTCTGCAAAGCTACTGCATGACACAGTTGAAGTTCAAAATGTGCATTTTGAAACAAGCCTCTGGGGCTTTAGACGTGACCTCATAGGTAGTAAAAGTCCAACAAAATGCACAAGACCAATATAAAATGTACAGCAACTTAATTGTGACTCTTGTTAATCTTCTGTGTTCCACATTCAGTGCAGCCAGGACTTTATCAGCCGGCCTATTCTTCACTGACCAACCAAAAAAAACCCCACACAAATCTGATTTCAGAAAATAGAGCGAGTGGGGAGAACATGACAAGCGAAAGCAAAACAACGGTGCGTGAACTTCTGGGACAACCTAATTCACTTCAGAAACTCAGAATATTCGCTGATGCACTGGCCCTGCTCCTCTGCAGTATAATGTAATAGAAAGCCAGTGTCTGCTCAACAATTGAGGCAGGAACAGAGGTCAAATTCTTGCTATTATTCTCTGCCCTGCTTCTCTGTCTATGCACTCCTACTTACACCATTTGACTGTGGTTCCCAAAGAATAGCAACTGCCAAGCTATGTTGCTTTGTTAACACTAATACAATCAGCTTCTTTTCAGGGGGACAGTTGTGCGTTTGCTGGCCTGTCTGCCGGGGCTCTCTATCTCTTGGCATTGTGCAACTATGGGGCAGACTCGGCGCGTATTGCCCCGCCGAAGAGAAAAGAATGTGTCAGAATTTGACATGTGGTTGGCAGCGACGCTATTAAAGAGACATAAATATGGAAGGAAAGAATTGAAACAGGGGTTGGGTTAACAAAAGAGTGAAGGGGTTACAGAATACATGAGGTTGGGGGAAAGATTAATAGAGGAAAAGCAGGCAGCATAGCAGTGGAGAACAAAGAGGAAAAAGTGCAGCAAGGAAGAGGTCACACAGGACTTGTGACAGGTCCCTTAAATGCATTCTTTGGCTTTTTAATTCCAGAGAAAACAACCTACTTCCATTTCTCTGGTCAGTGCTGGTAGAGGATTCGGTGACTGTGAATACATCCCCCTGTTTCGAGAGTATGCTACACTTGTAGAAGGAATCCACACACTCTTGTCCAGATATTTGCCTCATGTGGACATGGCAGCCACGCTCAGGTGTGAATTACAAGCGACGGTAACTTGTAGCCTAAAATTCCCACAAATTTGCAGAATAGTCTAGCCCTCTCCAAAACAATGCCAAAACAATGTCCTTTTTGTTGGCCTAATAGCAATCCTCTCAATTTTAGAACATTATTTTTTATGTGAAACCCTCAATGTGCAGACAAAGCTAAACTAACTCGGTGTGCTTTGTTTCATATTTACTCAGCAGTCAGCACACATTTTGATGAGAAGATCACACCTGACACGTTTGTTCTTAGTGTCCCAATAATAATAATAATACTCTTCCCAAGAAGCAGACAGTACCAACTTGTTGTTGTAAGTGAATGCTGCTGCCCCAAAGGACAGCCTGTCCAAGGCAACATAACTCTCCTGACACAGTTGAATGATATGACCATAGGGATATGACAAAAGTCTTGTAGGGATGTAAACAGTCTCTCTTATGTCACGATACACACGGGCACATCTAACTATGACAGTTATTTGCATTATTCATATCCCAAAATGCAGCTATTGCAGAAGACAACATAACCTTCTCATGTATTTTTCATGCTCTGTGAACAGAATAAAGAGCCACTGAGAGGCCTTTGGGACAAAATTACATTGTGACTCTGACCTCTGCTGGCAAGAAATATGCACTGCATCAGAAAAGGGCAGCAATGAAATTGGATGTTTCTATATTTGTCATCCTTTTTTTTTGATTACCTGGAGCAGAGCTTAGTCGAACACTAATGCCAATTTGAAACACCTCTAAAGGCTTGTTTTAATGAGCATAAAGGTGGTTGGAATTTGCTATTTTGCAGAATGCTATAATCCGGTAGGCAATGTATAATTTACTGGACAAGAGTCGGAGCTTTTTCATGACTGGATAAACAAAATGAGCGCTGCAAACAAGATATGTCTTCATTTCACCAAGTTTGCCACTAGTTTACCCTCTGTGATGTTTATATCGTTCCTTAAGAAGGTTTTAGTAAACCTCGCTGTTCCTACCCTACTGAATCCACTATGGTGGTACTCTGAAATATACACAGCAGTAACCATACATTGTAGTTTATAATCAAGATTGGTGTTGGCAATCAGCTTTGACTTCTCAGAGATTTAGTCCTCATTACCTTTGTGCAGCCTTCAGGGTCTAACACATTGACACAGGAAATGTACTCCTGCATTGCCTGATCTGCTTCCATGTCTCCAAGCTGCTTCCAAGCTTGCCTGTAATGAGATCATAATACATCATAATCAGAATAATGTTTTATTATTATTATTATTATTATTATTAATAATAAAGTTTTTCATTGTGGAGAAAACATCAAAATAACAGACTTTAACAGAGAATAAACTTTAACATGAACTTTCATTGAAACTGAAAACATATTTAGGAAAGAAGACATTTAACAACTTATTTATTGACCACTGGCTTCCAATTTTAGGCTACATACCATTTTCTCTGTCCTTCAAAGTCAAAGAAGCCAGGCTTTGGTGTATTGCACTTTCCAACCTTGGCCTGAAAATAAAACCAGTCTGGATTATTCCTTTGGTCTAGTATTATCCAGAACTAATTACATCAGGTGATAACGTAGAGGTATCTATGCATATCTCATCTCAACTGTTACAAATGAGTGATGACACAAGGATGTTGGGGATTCAATGTATGTGGTTATTATCTAAAGTCACATGGTGCCAGTATTTGAGGGGTTACATTTAGCCTACACGACAACAGTAACATGTATCCGACACTCACCTGTTTGTACCGTGCATACAGGTACAGCAGCTGGTCCCTGCTGGCCGTCTGAACCAGATCTCGTACCCGGTCGGCTGCAGACTGAAACTCCCGCTCCAGCTCTTCTCCCTCCAATCGGTCCCCCATTTCCATGGCGCTGCAGTCAAATTTACCCAAACCCAGGTCCGAGTCAGAGTCCGAGCCTGCACCACCGAGAGGCTCCCCTGTGTCGGGCCGGGCTGGATCTGTACCTGAGCCCGTCGCAGTGTCCGGAGAGGACGACGGCGACCCAGAAGCCATTGTTATTATTGTTTGTAACGTTAGCGTAACGTCAGAGACGACGTGCGACGTAGATCCGAAGGAAAAGCGTTAAAGACGAACGGAGAGTAGCTCTCCTAAATATCTTTGTTAAGTATTTCAGCGCCGATTTCGTCTTTTAATCCGTTATCGTTAAGAATCCGTGACAGCCGGATTTGTTTCTATCGTTGGTCCGTCTCTGGTACTGTAAACTAAAAGCACCGGCCACAGAAACTGCTAGCGAGAAAGGTTCCGCCCTGCTACTTTGGTAAGAAAAAGAAAAACAACGAAACAAACTAAGAAAAAAAGTGTAACACTCTCGGTTTAATTTAGTATGCTTATGTTTTAAAAGTAGATAGCAAAACCTACACGAAAAGAAAAGCTTTTGGCGTGTTTGTTGTTTATTGTGTGTATGCTAACCATTCGGTTGACGTAAAAACAGCTAACTTGTAAACGTCAATTAACGCTAATTGTTGTCAGCGTCAAAAGCTAACGTTATTTAATGACCAAAGTAGCTTGCAGTAGGATAATTGGTTCTTTGGACGGGTCAAAATTGGGTTATTTAAGTATCTTCAAATATAAACTACTTGTATTGTATTTTATACAGTTGTCAACATGGTCATTTTTCAGTATGTTCAGTGTGCGGCAGTTCTGCCTGTGTTAGTTTAAAGTTACTAGTCAGCTACATGGCTGCTTGATGATAGCCTTGATCTACAGCCTAGTAATGCAGAAGTTAATATGGGCTTTACAGCTCGTTGAATTACTGTCGAGTCCAATTTGTCCAATTTCAGTTTAAATATTCAGGTCGATTTTCTGTCCTCTACTGCAGCGAATTTGAGTTTCGTTGACACCTTTTTATAAAGGCAAATATAGCTATGTATACGCATTGGTGGTAAAAAAATGCATTAGTGCAGTTTGTCCAGCAGGTGCTGCTATTGGCATGATGATGAATTGTCACCTGACACAGACACTGAGCAGTTGTCCCAAACGCTCATGAGATCAACTCAAAACCAGTGGATATTTGCATAACAAAAGCACACGGAATAGCCTATTTAACTTTTTTTTTTAGGATGTTTATAGTCTTACTGTCATTACCTTTCATTGCATTTGCCATGTATGTGGGGAGCTTTGGAGTTTGGACAACATAATGAGATCCTTTTGACATATCCTATTAGTAGCCTAATAGCCTATTATCCTGTTCTCTTAAAACTCTGCTTTTCCAAAAAAATCGTCTGTAGGCCTACTGAGCATCCAAATAGCCTATCTGTAATTCGCTGTCCCATTTCAGGATGAATTGTAGAAATAAGCAGGCTACTCTGCCTAACCGTAACTCGAATAGGATTGTTAATCACAAATGCGAGCAGAAGAGGGACAAAGTGATGTGTTCCCATGCATAAGTGATGCACGTGATCTTTAAATGGAGTTTGCACAGGTTGGTTGGATACAAACGACTGAATGTAAACTTAAAATAATATCAGATAATGTATTTATATTATGGAGTTTAACTGTATCCCCTCTTTCATTGCAGACACAACAATAGCAAAAGCAAGCTCCTCGGACGGTGCCTGATTTATCTGCGTGTAGATAGAAGGTGAGGGGTTCCCTGGCCGCACCGCCAACTAGTTTTCACTGGAGGTCCCAACAACGCCCGGTGCCAGTGCGCGCTCTGCTGACGCAACCACGTCGCTGTGGCTCAAAGCGATGGCGGACCGCAACGTGCCCAGATCTGCCCAGGAAGGCACGGAGCAAAGTCACTGAGCCACTCTTCACCGGCTTCGTTCAAAGCTGACCACCTGTTAAAGGAGAGAGACCGCTGCCATTGCCGTCCCTCCCGCGAAGTAGTATGCGGGACGGGATCTGCTCGGAGTGCACTGACCGGGACGAGACAGAAGTGGAGTGAGGAGGAGCTGAGTGCGCCGGGGCTGACGCACCGCATGTTGAGCCAGCAAGTTGACTGAAACAGCAAAAGTCGCGTCGTCGACGGGGAAGGAAGGGGACAGCCGCTCTTGGATTTAACGGAGGGTTTGAGAGGACAGTTGTTCCGGCAAAATGAAATTCGCGGAGCATCTTTCGTCCCACATCACTCCAGAGTGGAGGAAACAGTATCTTCAGTATGAGGTAAAGTGAAAATGTTATCTTGTATTAGAAATAAACTCTTTGTAAATATGGCCATGGCCGAAACTCCCCCAAAATACATCATTTTTTGAGAAGGAAGTGGAAGAAAAGAGCCAATAGGGCTTTTAACTAAGACACCATGTGAAAGATTTTTAAACCTTTATTTCAGTTTCAGTTCGCCTGCTACTGAGAGCAATAAATCACACCAAAATAAGGGATGTCCTATTGTTTATGGTCGGAAAATTGACTGCGGGTGTTAAGCCAGAGGCAGCATTCATTGCTTATTATGGCTGTTTGCTCAGTTTTGACACTTAAAAATGAACAATGTGAACAATTGAATGCCTTTCTTGAAACGATTAACAAAACAATTATATTTATTTTTTAGAATACACAGAGTATAGATATTTCACAATATTATAGACATTTTAATTTATTTAGTTTTTTGTAGGTTTAGTTTTCTTTGCAAAATGAAAAATGATACCATCGATTTCATTTAGCCTGCATATTATTTTGTTCCAAACCTTGATTTATTTTTATTTTAGTCTGTCCATCATATAACTGAGGGCTATGTTTATATTTTAAAAAGGGAAAATGGTGTTCATTGTCAATTACTTTGATAATTCCGTTCAATAAATTCACATTTTCTTTGGATTTCCGTCCAAATTATTTGCACATCTAACTGAACAACAGAGACATTTCCCAGACATTAATTATGCATTGCTGTAACATTGCAAATATTCTTCTGTAATTATTCCTTGTTTTTGACCAGAGTTATATAGTATTTTTAGTTTTTCTCAGTGTAGTTGTTATTACTATTTTGCACAATTAAACAGGCATGGTTGTCTCTATGAATCAACCTGCAAGACTTCATCCAACAGGATATTCTCTCTGATGTCTGCGGAGTTATGGAGACCTTTGTGTGCACACATGCTCTTTGTTGGGTGGTGTACAGTACTTGAGCAGTATTTCATATTCACACCCCACTTCTCGCTGGCTCAACATTAAGAGCTTTAGTGCAGACATGCAGTGACAGGGCAGGCTGCTCCGTTCCATTTAGCTCTATGAATTATAGACAAAGACCCTGTTCTCATCAACCTCAGCAGCCTACATCCCAGGCTCAACAGAGGCTCACTGCGCTGGTTTTATTTTGGAAACATGCCCTGAACAGTATTATTAAGTTAGATTATTGCTACAGCAGACATTTGGAGGCATGAATGATATGCTGTCATCATCGTGTGATAAAAACATCTTTGGACATCATAATTAAAGTAGAAAAAAAGGGGTGTCGGATATGTAGTGGACAAACTGATGAGGGGGCAACTCTACAGTGGAATGCAATTTCAATTGATTATAAACATACATTCACATCCTGTGTGCAGTCGTGTGTACAGACAGACGCACAGTGAGCCCAGGGACAGATGCATGGCCATACCAGCCATTTTACACCTCCAGTCTTCGGCTCGGCACTCACTGACCTGAGATGGATGATGATAGATTTTCTCTGTCATCCACGTTTTGTGTTGGTATTCAGATATATCGGATATAATTATTTGAATGACAAAGTTTTAATGTTATACTATTTTAGCCATACATTTACGCCAGTGTCTATCAACAGAGGCAATTTGATTCTGAAATTTTATTGCAGATGATTGCATGTTTTTTAACTGGGATCATGCATATCAAAGGATATTTTCATCACTTTATTACAGGAATAACTGATTTTGTTTTATAAGCATGAAAGATTAATTGATTTCATCAGTCTATATTTTGTACTTCTTACTTCTGTAAGATTTAAATTTACAGCAAAACAATAAATCTGGCGTGAAGACATCTGTAATCCACCATTATGAGACTCTCATGGAGCAGAGGCCTTTGTTTTTGTTTCCATTCCAAAAACCCAGTCCTTACAAACATTGTTCTCACATTGGTTGTGAATTATGTATAACAACAGGGCTGGTCCCTATCCATACAATTTGTATTCTTCCTCAAATCTGAATTATGCATATAGGGTTTGCATGAAGGATGGGTTTGTGTATGTTTGTGTTACTGCGGCTGCCTTCAGTCTTTGTCTGACCTCTGTAAACCCCAGCACACTAGCTGTGGGAGGGATGAGGAGAGAGCTTTCACCTGCAGATGAAGGACAAACATAAACTTCAGTTTACTTTAGTGAAGTGGTTCACTGAGATAAAACCGACCTTAAAGGGAAATTTAATGTCAAGCCTAAAAATGCAAAGCCTGGATATCCTGCTGTGGTGCAACAGAAGCAGCGTCAACCCATGGACTCAATTCAATGAAGGGGACATGACAGAAAGCTGGAGAAATGCATAAAAAACATCCAGTCATTACACACAGTGGTAGCCAACTGTCCCTCCTATATTTATTCTCCATTCTGTGTTGCAGTGGCCACTGCAGCCGTCACATCAGCTGTAGTATAATACAGTTGTCTGTCCATTGAACTACTAACGGACACATTATTCAAGCAACGCAGGTGGCTTTTACCCGTCGTCCATGCAGTAAAATAAGACCCTTCCACGCTGGCTGTATCTGTGGCGCGCCCACATCTAAATTGACTGGTTTGAAGTGATATTATTGCCTTTGTGTGCTAGTTGGGTTAATTAACCTGCTGCCCAGTTTTCGCTCTCCTCCTTTTTTTTTTTTTTTTTTTTTAGAGCACACTATTGTGTGGAAAGCTGTGCGCTGTCTATTTAGATTGGTCAGCCAGTTTCTATGCAGATGAGAAGGATGCGGCAAAGTGGCCGTTCCAGCAATAACAGTCTTCGTTTAGTAAGGCACTTCATTTCAACATGGAGGCATTGACGAGGCGATTGAGTGATCGAGTAATTAGGTGTCTTGCTTTATCCTGTGGGATTGGTAGTTATAAACATATATGCTAAACAGCTGTTTGGTATGGAGGAGTGCATGTCGTGCTTCTGACAAAGGGCAGGGGATGTAGGTTGATATGTGGGGGTTTGCCTCTAAATGTAATAGTTATTAAGTGCAAACATTAAAAAGAAGAAGTAGTTTTTATGAGCTGAGTTTACTGTCTGCTTTTTAAGTCATTTTCTCTCCATGCTCAAGGCTTTTTCACGCAAGACGTAAGATGTGTGCAGACAATAATTAGGTGTGGCAACTGTATTCAGATTTATATTATGAAACTAATGTGTATTGAACATTAGAGGCATACAAAAAGAGTGAGAATTAGAGATGCAGGTGTGTGTGTGTGTGTGTGTGTTTGTGTGTGGGCGAGAGAACAAGGCCACTTATGCATTTACCTCTGCAGTCTAATCACTTGTGTAAGCGTGGAAAAGGAGGGTGCATGTAGACACTCACATTTACAATTCAAACCAGTATAGTGACATTATGTTGACGAAAAGCAGGTGCTTGCACGATTTCAGTGAGTGATTGCTGTTCGTTCAAAGGTTAAGCGTCGTCTTTCCCTAATTCATCGGAGTGATTTAGTTTAGATGTCTTAACCAGCACGTGCACAGCGAGCTTTGATTTGTGACAGAAATAATGGAAATAGTACATAAAATATAGAGCATTCCTCTCCTCATCTGTATTTTGTGTAATGACTGTGTGATTTATCAGCATGTTCAACAACATTATGTGTACAACAGGCATGGCGGGGCAACTGCTGAGAACCCCCCCCTTTCTATACCTCACTCCTTCCTCCCATCCTCACCTCGTCATTCCTCCCCCACTGGGAGGACATCTGGTCCCCGACCAGACCTGCCCTTCTGCTGCCCTCCCTCCCTCCACTCCTCCTACCCTCTCTGCTCCTGTTTCTCCATGCAGGGATCCACTCAGAGACAGAGCCAGGGATTCAATTGATCCACGATTGACATTAATTGAGCCAGAGATCTCTTCAAACTAATGACGCGCACTGTGTGTCCATCTCAAGCACAGGGATACCAATCTCAAGCACCTTGGAGAAGCACATGATCATCTCAAAATATTTTGCTTTAGTGTCCACTCAACTTGTCAATGCTATGAAAGGATTGAACTCCATGGACAGCAGCCTCAGTCCGACATATAAGTGTGCTACTTGTGTTACACGTGTGTTTGGTTTAGTAAGTATGGATCATCATCACGTTAATGCATGGCCATTCGAACGGATGGCCCCATTAGGCTTGACTTAGTTGTTGTCTACAGGTTTCCCCACTGATTGCTGCCAAGCCCGTAGTCAGGAGGGCCTTTTTTGCTCACCAGAGATTAGCCAGGCCCGGGCCCTGCTCCCAATGGTGTGTGTGTGTGCGTGTGCGTGCGTGCGTGTGCATGTGTGTGTTCTTCTGTGATCTTTATCCGACAAGGTAGAGACAACATGCTACGGACAAATGACATGTGTACCTCTTGGATTAGACTCCAGTGTCGGTCTCATTGTGCAGGTAATTCACAGAGGAATTTGAGTTTCAACAATCCAGGTTGCTGTCTAATGCACAGCAGTTTCTAAGTGGCTCCCACCCACACACAGGATTACTCACACCGCTCTCTCACTGGCATGGTACAAAAGCAGACGGCTGTATAGAAACCTGGACACAGAGAGTGGTTAGATATGATCAGTGGATAAGTGGATCAAACATACAATCTGTCAGGAACATTTTTCTCCTTCAACTGCTCATCATATTTGCACATTTTATTTACTTGCAGTATGCTGAACACTACTAGTTCTTAGTAAAAATGTAATTTATAAAGTTTAATGGGATTGTTTTTCTATTTCGGCAGTTTAGTCAGGAAGCACGATTCAGTTTGAGTCTTTACTCTGATTACCACTGATATGTTCAGATGAGCCAGCGTGTAATTATCTGTCAGTTTTTATTATCTTTGCGATCAATCTTAGTTCAGAGAAACAACCTCATATGATGTCTGTCTCTCTCCCTTGTTTCTGTCAGTCGGTCTGTCTGCCTGTCTCTCTCTATGTCCCCAATCGGCACTTTTAATTAGAAAGTGTCGATCTCTGAACATGTCAACAAACTATTTTATTTCATCTGTAATTCACGTTATCATTGTTAATTTTGTAAAGTCTTGTGGAGTCAGGCCGTCTCCCTTCCCGTTTCACTGTTTTAGATCAACTAAATCACAGCAATAACACAGCAGCACTTTCATTCTAAACTCTTTCCAAGCTAGTTAATATACTCTACTGCATGTGGATCATTCTTTATTTACAGCAATCAAAATATGGTACAGTTGGGCCTAAACGTTCGCAGTTCTTTGAGCTACTGCAAGTGTAGAAATAAATGTGTACCTAGTGTAACTTGCATTAAATGTGTTCATTAAAATTCCAGAGTTTGTGCCTTGTTCGTTATGTTACTAAATGCTACTCTAAAAGCAGATGGTGCTAATAATTGTGTAATGCATGGTCTACTGTAATCCTTTCTTACTTGTACTGGTGTACTGTAAATGCACTATATTTGATCGGATGTGGAACCGACTCTAATCTTTTAAATGACCCCACAGTTACTCCATACATTAATCCGCTGTATCTATGGATTATATGGACTCTAATGACTTGTCATATATTTAAACATCCTGGCAAAAGTACATATGTGTACAACCTGTTTTTTGTGTCATCATTTTGTTTTCCTGCTTTCCTCATCAGGCTTTCAAGGACATGCTGTATGCTGCCCAGGACCAAGCCCCATCCATAGAAGGTAAGGAGACCCCCTGTTTGCATAAACAAACAAACACAGACAGGCACACACACACACACACACACACACACAGTCACACTTGTGTACGCACTGTACTCTGCCTGGGGCCTGTTTGGGCATCCCCAGAATAACAGCCTTCCGTCTGCTAAAAATAGGTGGAAATCATCGCTAACATGCTGCCACTCACTCCGTAGGCAATGACTCCACCAGACCAGCGGCAATTACCAAATCATTACCTTCCAGCTTACTATCTTAGCTTTTGAACTTGCATAAGAAAAAAAACATGCCGTGAATCAAAGATAAAAGTTTTTGTTTTCTTAAATAGTCTTCAGTAACTCAGTGGGTTAAAACAACAGTGTACCAGTAGTCAACGTGGCAGACCAGAGCTGGAGTTCAATGGCCGGCAGTGCTGAGTGTTGCTACTCAACACAGCAAAGATAAGAAAGGCCATTGGCTATAATTAATCTCTGGCTTTAGACTGCACATGATGTTGTGGAGGGAAAGAATGTAAACTATTTTAGATACCAGTTTGTGGAGGTAAACAACTGTCTTTAGTTGCAGGCTCGAGACACAGCCTACTTTATGTGTGTCTGGAAAAAAAAAATGGGCTTGTTCTGAAATCTGGCTGCACAAAACTGACCTCTACCGTGCTTGCGTGTCTGTACTGTGATGGCATAAGCAATTGTGCGCTAAACTTGTGCATTTGTCTGTGTAGTGATAGATTGTTCGGTGTCACAGAGCTGCGACTCACAGAGCTCAGTTCCAGATGAACGGTCTCGGTATGGATGGGAGTATGATATGACTCCATCCATGATCAACAAGCATGTAACACACAGTCACAGGGTGTGGATGACAGCGCTGTGTGTGCGTGTGTGTGTGAGTCAGCTTTAGGCAGAAAGACAGACATTTGTCGACTTTATTTTTAACAGCAGTAGGTGTGAAAGGAGAAAAAAATTCTATGAAATGTGTTTTAAGGGTATTAAACTCTTTGGCTTTGTGTGTATATTTTACTGTTTCTATAGGTATTGCTTGCTCCTAACATTTAACACTACTGTTGAACATGTGTTGTTGGGTGTCTCTCCTTTGAGAGACACCCAACAACCAGAGGCTAACACCATGGCTAACATCCAGAGGCTGTTAGCCATGCTAGAAGAGATGGCGTGGATGATAAATCGTTTCCTGTCTCAGGTCTGAGTTGTACCCATGGGTCACTGCTCTGCTCTGCTTTGTCACAAGATAGATATGGTCTTCCTATGAATGGTGACGGGATCAATCAATCAGTATAGAAAATCCTTCCGTGTCATACATCTGGTATCGTTGTGAGGTTTCAGCAGTCCCCACTAAATGATTTTGATTTGTGTTCTTTTCTATATTCTTTTCACAAATCAAAACACTAAAGCAGGAAAGTGCAGAAGAAGGTGTATCAGCAATGGCATATGTTTTATAGGAGAGAAGACTTCTTTGAATGTTTCAGACAGTTGTCTCTCCCTTTTCGTGTATTTATGGGACAGCGAGAGGCTGTAATGAAAACAGCAGTCGAAGCAGACAAACAGTGTTATTGAGTCCTGTCTACTCTCTCCTGTCGCTGATATTTTGTTGACTTTTCATAAGAGAAATAAGATTAGCAGGTGTTATAAATTTCAAGCTTACTGCAGCACTTTCTTTCCACACTCCACTAGACCCAATCTGTCAAATGTGATTGAATTTAAACTGGGGCAGAACGAAATTGTGAAAAAGAAATTGCACTTATATAGCGTTTTTTTTTCTTGACTTTAGTGGACAAAGCGTATAACAGTTTGCCTATTATTCACACAAACACTTGTACATTGATGGCAGCTGTTAAACACTGGAGCATCAGGAGCACATTTGTGTTTATGGTATTGCTCAAGGACATGTCACCATACATCATATGGACACATATCCTGAGCTACTTATATTGTATAAAATATTTATTTGTCTTTTCTGTGTTGTTTGTGTCATGCAGATTGGAAACCAGTAGAGCAACTAACAATTATTGTCATTTTTCATTTCATCTGCCAATTATTTTCTCAATTCATTGATTTGAAACACATATCCTCAAATCCAAGGTGATAGCTTTGTGTTGCATTTTTGTCCAACTAACAGTCCAAAACACAAATATATTAATTTTACTGTCGCATAAGATGGCTAGAAAGCAGCAAATCCTCACAATTGAGCTCAGGATTGTTTTGCAGCTCAAGAAACCAAAACAGTCATTAATAAATTCTCCTAAATTGTGTTTTTTTTATCAAATGAAATAATCTTTAAGTTTTATGTCACCAATGCACATACATAGTGATATCCATTGTGTACATCTTAATCCTAATTTTCAACCATGATTATTTTATTAAATCTGCTTCCTGAGTGGAAGACTAAATATGCAGGTTTGATTCGCCCTCTCTGCCTCTCCCTCCTTCCTCAGTCATTACAAAAAGGAGGATTTTTGTTATTCAGAAGGTGTTTCCCTTGCCTCAGGGAGACCGTTTACTGGGTTATAACTGCTTGCTCACCCACTCTGCTCTCTTGCTGAACACCCTGCAGTAACTGATAGAGCTGTGTAGTAGATAGACACAACACTGAACAGGCAGCACTTCAAAGCCTCTGTCAAGGCCTCTGCATTCGTGTTGTTGTCAGATTGTCAGACTGTCGCCACACATGGCCAACAACATTAATAAATATGTGCAATGTTCATGGTTTGACCTTTCTGTGAAAGCATATTGTCTCTCATGTGGTGTTATGTGTTGCAGTGCTAGCTGGGCTTTTGTTTAAACAGACATTACACACATTAGCACCACCCACCACACAGAGCCTCTGTGGGAACATACCACATGAAGTGCACTTCTTTCAGCACCATTTTTAGTCTAATGAATCATTCAGCTTCAACACGATGAATGTACAGTAATTAAGAGAGCTTGTTGCAAACCGACACAAAAAGCCATGCATATTATGGTGCCTCTGCTGCTGCATATGACCCTTCACCCCTCGTTAAGATCCTTTGTTCTTATTCCCTCCACCCCTCCATTGGTCCTTATGTAATTGTGAATTAAAACACTCCTGTCCCTGTACTATGGAGAGCTGGAGGAAGACAACAGAGAGAACAGCTGGTTGGATCTCTGGGTCCCCATGTCCCAACCATTAGAATGAGTTCTGCCACGATTTAATTCAATTAGTCTTCTGATTATTACAGCAATCTGAGAACAATGGCCCCAGATAATACACACACAGCTTTAACGGTAATCTCGGTGTGTTTGTGTCATTCTTTCCAGCGATGTTTGCATGCACCACATGCCATACGTGCTTATATTTGTATTGAAGCATTTTTCTAATCCCGCTGGGAGGGGGAGGAGGTTTCACACTGCAAGTCATTCAGTGGTGGTCTCAGTCATTCATTCATTGTGTCCTTCATTCTGCTACTCTGTAAATGGCCGGTCTTCTACCGTGATGGTATCTGTACTGGGTGGGAGCTGTGGGGAGGTGGCAGTGATGGCACTGGGAGTAAGGGTGGGGCTCCAGTGTAGTACCATAAACACACACACACACACACACACACTGTGTCCGAGGAGGAGACTGGGGTGCTACGTTATTGGCTTACAGCTCAGGGGACAGAGAATAGATTTCTTTCTCTGAATCACAAGGCTTAGATGTCAGGGATGAATGAATCAGACAAAAAAACAACATATAATGAATGGATATTTCTTATCCATCTCATAATTTCTTTTTCTATCTTGCATGGTAAAGGTCCTTAAGGAAATGTCCACCTTATTGTCCCTACTGACTTGTGGCTTTGCTGTCAGTTGCCTTTTCCCTTTAAGGCTTTTCATGTTTCATGCAGTCAAATCAATAACAGCGTAAAAGCAGTGACCTGTAAATAGGACGTGTGCTTTGTGTGGCGATGAATTGCTGTACAATTTCCATCAAAAATAAATGTGATGGTAGGCTATTCACCAAGAAGTTTACGTAGCCTCTAATATTTGTTTTATTAACCTTATCAGTTATGTGTTTTATTGTGTTGAACTAAGACGTCCACTTTTATTTAAGGAGTCCTAACCTAACCCTTTTAAAGAACAAGATAAGAATGTTAACGAACACTCAAACCTTTAACCTTGTATGATGTTTAAACATGTTTAAGTTGATGCAGGGTCCTTGATCTCAGAATGTGTTCTGTCACTAGCCATTATCCCAGCCATGTCACATTCAGCTCAGAGACTGACAATCCCATTATACTGCACACTGAAATGAAAATACATATATGGTGCCTGTATTTTGCTGCACATGAAACTGCTGATAGTAATGTTTGGGGATCAGTGCGCATACGTTTGCATGTCTGTATGCATGTGCATGTGTGCAGGTTTGTTTCTGTGCTATGGGGCTATTGGGCATGCAGACGTCACATTGGTACAGATAGTCGGTGTGCTTAAACACACAGTGGTGTGTCTGGCTTGGGGCCTTGCCAGACCGTGTTTGTGTTTAAGTGGTCCAGGGTAGCTGGGAGTGGGGAGAGGGAACCGAGCCAGTCATTTCTTCAAAGAGCATCATGAAACCACCACTTCAACTTTGCAGTTATGTGATGAGATAAAAGTGGAATAAAATAAAACTGAATATAAATCGTACCTCTCCATAAAGCTAGATGGATGTATGGTTGGATGAAATTAATGTTTCCCATTGAGTCAGACAAGACACCTACACAGACAGATGTTATTTTGTCCATCCCAGACACCTGCACCATCACTGCCTGGTCTCTGCTACGCAGCTTCCGAGGCTTTTGCTCCCACGCTTCCTTTTGAACAACATCGTCTCCCTCTCATTTGGCTCTTCATGGCTTTGATTACTGGATAATAACCAGAACAGTAAACCTGCTCACTGTTGCACCTTTTTTTTTTTTTTTTAGCTCTGCAAATACCCCTCTTACCACTTCCAAATGAATATTTTTGTGTCTGTTTGTGAGCCATCGTACCTAATCTGCTTAATGAAAGCAGCAACAT